ATAAAATGACTACACAAAAGCTGAGAAAAATAAATATTTTTAAAATTGATGGTCCTGGAACATGTTAGAATATTTATATGACTTTAAGAGCTCATTAAGAATTATTTTTTTAAAATTATTTTGACGTATAAAGCTATGTCATTATTTTTTGAACAACTAATTATAAAATAGTGTCAAACAAACAATAAAAGGATAACTTTTATTTCTTGCGTAAACTGTTTTTACAAAAATAAAACTCTGAATTCGAAAACTATTTTTTCTTTTTTGAACTTCAGCTAGCAATGTTGGAGTTAGGTGTTGGTGTGAATAAAAAACTAAGGGGGGGTTTAATTTTCGGATCTACTTCTGCATATTTCTTACAAATGAAAATTGAGTTTTTATGTGATTTATTACTGATCTTTGACTTCGATGAAGTTGTAGGTGTTTGAGGTCTACTAGTTTAGCGATCGGTAAATGCGTTGAATAATCTAATACTTCAGGAATTGTGACTGATTAAATTTTTTAAGGATACACAATAACTTTTGTAGTCGAACATATTTCCACTTTTTAGTTACTCCCTCCGTTTAAAAAAAAATGACTTCCTTTCCTTTTTAGTTTGTTTAAAAAAATGACCTCCTTCTTTTTTTGGTAACATTTTAATTTCAACTTTCCACGTGGCATGTTTAAGGCCACAAGATTAAAGGATAATTTTGTACATTTGACCTAACTTTAATTTAGGATCACAAGATTCAAAAGTCTTTTTTATTTTCTTAAACTTCGTGCCAAGTCAAACTAAGTCATTCTTTATGAAACGGAGAGAGTATTAATTTTCTGTTTTTTACCAAGTGACTGGTTTACTATTTGACCACAGATAACAAACAACACCTAGTTTTTTTCAGTAGTCATTTCTTGACTTAGCGACGTGTGACGCAACAAATAAATTATTTTGGCTAGTGATCAATAAACACAATATAAGGCATAACCAACATATAACTTCAATAAAAGACGAACAATATCACTTGATAATTGATAGTACAACATAACCAAGTAAATTTCTTGGTTTCACCATGGATAAGTAAAGGGATACAAACATATAATAGAGATTTAATTTGCATCTAAGAGATGCATACAGGTATAATCTAGTACAATATATTGATTCATGTCCATATCCTCAAGTAGATAAGGTGCCATTGAGACATACATATTCACCCACAAAAAGATTGTCACAGTTAAGGTTCGGATTCAAAGAACTGAATTTCTCTGCTTCGAAAGATTTGATAATACTGTCGCAAGTATCGCCAGTATCTACATTATAAATGACCGTACAGGTTGGAATGGCTTGAGACGTCGCGTTATTAGATCCTGGAGTAAACGAAAAAAAAATGGAATGTGAGTTTAGAGATGAAGAAAATGACATTTATGTTACAAGTAGTAAAATTTTATGCAATGAAATAAATAAATGTTCATACTGAGAATTCGTCGTCCCAGAGATGGAGTACTCAAAATGAGTAGAAAAGTAAGGACTAAGGCAAAGTTCAAGGAATTATTGCTAGCCTTGGCCATGATTAATTGAATTAAATGTAATTGATTTTAATGAGTAGTGCTTAATACTTTGTTGAGATCATGTGTATTTATAGGACCATACAAGTAAGAATCTAATTTAATTTGTTTGAGAGAAAGAATGGATTTTGTGTTGTTATTTCCTTCTCAACATTTACCAATTAGGGGAATGTTACGTTGCCGGACTGTGTGTGTACTTGGTCAAAGTGAGATAGAAACTACAAAGCTAATTATTGGCCGTTCAAGATAAAATGGATGAGTTTAATGATAAGAGACTTACCTAAATCACACTAGTTTAGGAGTTAATTACTAAGATACATTTTAGTTTATAATATTACGAATTTTATCAGATTTTGGATATATCCAGATGTACGTATATATCTAGGGATGCATAGAGTCGAAATTAGGTGTAATTTATTATAGATACAATGTATTCGATCAAGTGAATTCGCATGTATCTTGGGTACATAACAAATCTCAATCACCGATCCCTTCCATCTCGCTCGCCACTCTCCTATGTATCTAGTTTCCCAGATAAATGCAAATCACACTAGATATATACATATACATGTATCTAGTGTGATTCACATGTATTTGGAATACATGATTGTGTCGCTCGCCTCTCTCCCCAGTTTATTGTATTTGGTAGCAAAAATACATTATTTAGGTATATATTTTTTAATATATGATTAAAAAAAAACTCTTAATTAATGATAAGATACGTAATTATTTGAAATATAGATAGAATTAGTATTTATGCTAGCGATGTATATCTAATAAGGCAGTTTTCCTATAAAGGAAGGGGGAAATTTTGAAAATACTTACGTCATGTTGCCTAATATACAATATTCTACAAGGTTATAATATTAATATAACAGTAATATTATTGGAGTATATATAATTAATATAAATAGTATTAAGAGCTAATTATATTATCTCCCTACTATTTTTTAAATGGAAAAGGGTCAAATATACCCTTGTACTATTGGAAATAGTTTATATATACCATTCGTTATACTTTCGGGTCATATATATCCCTCCCGTTATACTTTGGTACATATATTTGACCCTTTTCCGTTTTTTAAATTACAAAAATCTCTTAAAATTTATGGATTTCGGATACATCATTGGACTTCCGGATACATCAGACATCCGGATACATAGGGGAGCTAGGAATGTATCTGAGAGAGGAGGGATGTATCCAAGAGGGGATTGGGATGTATCAAAGATGGAATAGGACATTCGGTTACATAGGAGAGAAATGTATCCGAGAAGGGAGGGATGTATCTAAGAAGAGATTTTTTTAAAAAATCATGGTAAAATAAAATGTATATTTAGGTCATTTTTCTTATAATTAACCTAACTCTGAAACGATCCAAGTGCAATTTCCAGTGGACAGAAGTATAATTCTCAATTTGCCGACTATGCGGAATATTTTGGTGATTGAAGGAATCATAACTCCTCCTAATTTTCTAGTTTCATCTCTTTAATAATTCGTACACATTTTAATTTCTCTATTGACATTGACACAAACGTATCGTACATATTTTTACATCATCATCAGGTTAAGGTAAAGCTTTAATTAAAAATCGATATAAATAAATAAAAATTGAATCAAACAGTTAAATAAATTGATAATATTTAAATTGGGTTGATTTTATTTTTAATAATAATTAAAAAGCAAACTGATATGTTATATATGCAATATGTTAGTTTTTAAAAAATAATTTCAACTACTTTGTATATTTTTTTTTTATGAAAAAATGATTTATTTCTAATAGATTGTTGACTTTAGACTTAAACTCATTTATTGAAAAAATTATGAATTCAAACTCATTAATTGAAAAAACAAGTACTATTGAAAAAGTCTTTGTTCTTTCGTGCAAGTTTTGTTGTTCATGGTAGAAATGGGAGTCCGGAGCCAAAAGGGCAAAAAAAATTGCCAAAAATTCCAAAAGGGTACATCATATTTTTTTTAAACCAAAAGGGCAAAATCGCTTCACCGGGAGCAATTTCCCTCTGACACATATTAACGCCGTTTGGCTCTGTTAAAAAATAAAAAGTAAAAAATCGACTGCCCTAGCAGCGATTTATGTCCAATTTTTTTCCGCCGTTAAATATCGCTGCTATGGCAGCGTTTTCCTAGAAAGAAAATTTGGCACTTTTTTTGGAAAATTCGCTGCCTTGGCAGCGTTTTCCTAAAAAAAATTTTTTCTTTTAAATCTTTTCTTAATTATTTTTTTAAAGTTTTATGAAAAAACAATTTTTGTTTAAAATCGCTAACAGGCAGCCTGATTCCACCCAAAATTTTGGACTCGACGTAGAATTCATCAAAATAAAGCACAAAATGTAATCGGTGTCGAATTAGGCTGCCTTTTCAGCAATTTTTTGTTAACAAAATTATTTTTTAATAAAAACGAAAAACTGTTTTCAAAACGATTTTTACAGGAAATCGTGTCCCATGATCCATTGTTTAATGCTGAAGCTTCACAACAGGGCATCGTTTTTATTAAAAAATAATTTTGTTAACAAAAAATTGCTGAAAAGGCAGCCTAATTCGACACCGATTACATTTTGTGCTTTATTTTGATGAATTCTACGTCGAGTCCAAAATTTTGGGTGGAATCAGGCTGCCTGTCAGCGATTTTAAACAAAAATTGTTTTTTCATAAAACTTTAAAAAAATAATTAAGAAAAGATTTAAAAGAAAAAAATTTTTTTTTTAAGGAAAACGCTGCCAAGGCAGCGATTTTCCAAAAAAAGTGCCAAATTTTCTTTCTAGGAAAACGCTGCCATAGCAGCGATATTTAACGGCGGAAAAAAATTGGACATAAATCGCTGCTAGGGCAGCGATTTTTACTTTTTATTTTTAACAGAGCCAAACGGCGTTAATATGTGTCAGAGGGAAATCGCTCCCGGTGGAGCGATTTCGCCCTTTTGGTTTAAAAAAATATGATGTACCCTTTTGGAATTTTTGGCAATTTTTTTTGCCCTTTTGGCTCCCAACTCGTAGAAATGGATACGGCTAATATAAAGGACCGGCGGCTTCAAATTATAAAGTGGAATATCTAGTTGCAATTAGATTTTAAAAATGTATCTAACTCGCATTAGACAAGTTTTGGAATATGAGCTTGACTGATAAAATATGTAGGAGAATTTTGAAAACGATACACTTCATTTGAAAGATCACCTGCTCAATCAAATTGATCACGATCACCTTGCGAGTGTATTTTAAACGATTTTGAATGGTTTTTTATTCTTTTAAAATTAGACTGGTCCATAATTCACATACAAATTTCACACTGACCTAATCTCTTTGACGATATGCATATCTTACAACCATACATATAAGCAATTGAATTTTTTGGCTTCTACAATTGTCCATTATTGACCTACTATTTATTTTGTCCACATATTTTTTTGAAAAGAAAAAAAATACATAGATTTGCTTGCTATAAGTACTCCCCAAGTGTAAGACAAAACATACATCCTCCAAGAAGATCAGAAAATAAAAGCAAACAATCAAGCATGGGTAGTAACAAAGTTGGTGTCCTCACTCTCCTCCTCCTATGTGGTATGACTAATTTTACATAACATTCATCTTCTTTTTTTCTCTCAATAAAATAGTTACTACTTCATAAATTTTTGCCATTAATTTATTAGAATTTAAAAGGTCAAAAACACATGAAGTATGCGAGTTTTTCATTATGAGGCGTTCACTTTTCCTACCTAAATTATTATCAACTATGTTTATCAAGACACATCAACCATCAGTTATTCACTTTTCATACCTAAAATACCATCATTGTTCAGATAGCTAGGAAAAGGGAATAACTTATAGTTGAAGTGTGATATAATAAATAGTTAATGATAGTTTAAGTAGGAAAAGTAAACCCTGATGATTCATTTAAGGAAACTCACAAAAAAAGTGATACTTCAGATGTGTTTTTTTTTTATCATTATCTCATCATATCATGTACTATTTATGTACATTTTAAATAGATTTTTTTTTTTTGTGTTTGGAACAGTTTTTCTAGTGGGAAGCAATTATGTGGAAGCTCAGATCTGTCCTCAATTTTGTGAGCCAAATGTGGATTACATGACTTGTTCCTCTTCAGGAAGCACAATACTTCGTCCAACATGCATCAACTGTTGCCAAGCAAGAGGAAGGGGATGCCAACTTTTCCGTAGAGATGGCTCTGCAATATGTAACTAATAAATCACCTTTGAGATTTATCAAAGGGGATATATTAATAGTTTCTAATAAATTATGATCATATATATGTGTCATGTTTAAAATAAATTCTGAGCTTATATTTTACTCAGATGACCAATATTATATATAAGTAATAGATTTTTAGTGTTTGTCTAAACATTTGTTTTTAAAGTTGTTTAGTATGGTATCAAAGTCAGATTAATTCTAATTTATGATTTTTCAAATATTAAATTGTTCATGCTCTAGGTTTCTAGTTTCAGACGTGAGCCGCCGGATGTTGAGTCCCACATCAATATGAGGAGAATTTAGACTATTTGTATGATCTTCACAACTCCCCCTTCCCTCCGAACTTTTGAAGTTGAATTAGGTCAAGATTCCTCTCTATTAACTAGGGCTGTTCAAAATCGAAAACAAAATCGATAATAACCTGAATCGAAAAAAATTTATTGGTTTATCAGTAGTGGGTTATTGATTTAGCAGTTCAAATAACGGTTTTGATTTTTTTTTGTTATCGGGTTACCAGTTCTTAACGGTTTGAGGTTTTTTCTTAATGGGTTAACCGATAACCCGATAGTAAATTAAATAATTATATTTATATCATTTTGTATATAAAGTCTTTGACTTAGAGTTTAGTTTCCTACTTTTATTTCTGGCTATCTCAAAATCTTGGTTATTCTACAATATAAAAGTGTTGCTTTTGAGCAAGATGCAAACTTGTGAACTCATGTACATTATTCATTCGGTTTGTCACCTTGTTTCTAAGTGATTTTCATTAATTTATTTTTGTGTCAAATCTTAACGATTAAACCGATAACGATCAATGTAAAAGTGTACTTTTTTTTCATTCAATACAAAATTATCACTAAAAAGAATTTTCAAAAAATCGACCTTTGGAGATTGGCATTTTTTTTCCCCATAAAAATGAAATAAATTGACCCAAGGTCGGTTTTTAAATTATACAATTAAAAAATGCATCATGGGAATGGAAATGCTCATATTTACTATGGAAGAATACTTTTTTTTTTGTCACTAGATAATTGGTGCTTGTTGGTTTTAGACAACAATATTCTTTTAAGTACTCTTCAAATTTATTTTTTCCGAAGATCAGTAAAGTAATTGCATTTTGCAGATTTTTGGTGCCATAAAATCCGACCTTAAATAAATCTGTTATTTTTTCTCCGACCTTTTTTAGGTCTGCCTATGGATGGCAATTTCAGCCTATATAAATAAAATGAGCCCATTTAATTCATATTAAATTAAATTTTATATTTTCTTAAATGAATAAATATGGATTTTGATCTATTTAAACTCATACCAATATGAATAAAATAAGTAAGCATGAGAATCCATCTAGACCCATATATCACCCACTTATAATAAAAATTTCTAATTGCACTATCTGTTTTTGAAAATAAGAAATAAAAATTTAGGGGTGGGAGTGGTAGGGTGAGTGAGGAACAATTTTTTTTTAAAAAAAAATTGTTTTAATTTTCTTTTATAATTTTTTTTTGGGTGTGGGTTGGGGGGTGTCCCAAGGGGTGGGTGTGTGGGGGTAGGGTGGGAAATTTTTATTTTTAAAAAAATTAATAGTGATTTTTTTTGAATTTTTGTTTGGGGTGGGGTAGTGTGGGTGAGGGGTGAATTTTATTTTGTTTTTAATTTTTTAATTATTTTTTTTATAAAAAATTTTTGGGTGTGGGTGGGGTGCGTCACAGAGGTGGGGTGGGGGGTAGGGTGGGCAATATTTTCTTTTTTTTAGAAGATTAAATGGATTATAATTGTTGGTGTAATATACCACAAATATAATAAATTACAGTTGAAAATAAAAATGACAAAAAATGAATAACAAATTTTAGGCTGAGGCGCGGATATCTCGCTCTCTTTAAGGAGATTCAAGCCCACTGCAGCATAATATACACCGATCCAGCAGTATGTCTCTTGACTTGTCCCCTCTAGGATACAACAGTCCAATAACGTCGTACAACTCAAGCAACTCCAGATTAGTTGAAGAGTCCAAAGTTTCACATAAAAAAAAAACACTTTCCTTCAACATATAAATATTCTCTTTTGTATAGTGAATATAGTTGAAGATGTTGTTTCCCATTATACACGCAAGTGTACGTGGTCGCTCAAGTAATATAGATTCTTTAAAGAAACGAGTTCTTGTTCCTAAGGGACTTATGATCGATTTATATTTAAAACTCAATTCTACAAATAAAATTGAAAGTAACTTTTTCAAGAGTTGATGATGGTTGTTTACTACTACTACGAATTATGCAATAACTAAAAGTAACTAATTGTGAACGACTTTAAGATGATGTTTCAAGCAAGTAAAAGACAATTCCAGGGCTGCAGCATGCAATGAATCTCATGTATCATATTATCGACTTAGAACTAATTTTAGTTGTCAAGTTATTGGTTTACAGGGTTAATTGTATGAGTCAGATTTCAAACATCTAGTCGCCTACTCTAGTTAGTTATCTAACTACATCGTTGAGCGGGGATAAACAGACTAACTGACGAGCATTTATATTTCATCATGTTTCGTAACAAAGAGAGTTGTTCGTCCGGGCGTCACTCCTGCACACAAATCACCTCAACTTAATGGGTCGATCAAGCTTTTTATATTCTCTAGTCTATCTAACCTCTCCTCTCTCGATTTTAAGATTAGACAATACATTTATCTCTAGATGGCCAGTCAAGAAATACTAGAATAAGAATATAAAAGTAACATATAATGACAACCAAGAATTAATTCAACAAGCGTTTAAATAATCAACAATCGATTCGTAGCTACAGCCCCAGAACTAGGGCGTTTATCCACTCATGCTATTAGAAAAACCACAAAATACAATTGTTCATGCGATTTCCGAAAAATAGAAGAGTTAGAAGATCAAAAACCTATTACAAAAGATGAATCTTGCTCTTGCACACCAAAATAATGTCGAACCCCATCACAATAGCCCCAGGGGTCTATTTATATAAGTTAGGAAAACTAGAGTCTAAATCTACTTCAACAAGGAGCATTCCTTTTTAAATCAAATTTCGCTCAAACGTCCGCACAACAATGGGCCATCGCGCCCTGATCGCGCCTGGCAGGCTAGCATGCCGCGCTGCCAGTACGCCAAAATGTAGCCCCAGTCAACTGGGCCTGGCGCATCGCGCCCTTGTTGCACCAGTGATGCTGGGGCGCTGCACCAGCCTTTGTTCTGGGCATCACTTTGTCGTCTTCAACTCCTTTTCTCTCTTGCATCAATCACTTCTCTTAGGAACCCTGCAAAATAGCTAATCATGTATATTAGTATGCAATCATCACAATTTTAAGTAAAACATGTCAGTTAGATTAGTGAATGTTCTTAAACTCACGTTAAAAGATGGATAATTTGTAGTAATTGGGCATATAAATATGCCCAAGATCAGAAGACTTAAAATATTTTTCTTTGTCTCAACTCTCTCTTTAACTACACTAATCTCAATTTAAACACAATATAGTACTCCTCATTTTTTCACTCTTTATATTCTTGTTTATCTCTTCTAGTTCTTTTCACAAAGTAAAATCATCACTATTTATAGGCGATGAATTCTTTCTTACAGTGAATAGGAAGATAATGGATAGTAATTTGGGCAAATGAATGTCCCAAAGGTTACATAAGTTACAAGTCATAAAGATGTCTTTTTGATTATAAATCCACTCATTTGTCACCCTTAGGTCCGCCTATAATTACTTGTATTTTCTATTAATCTTACTCTCATTTAATAGAATATAGTTTGACTTGATACAAAATTTTAAAATTAAATTGTTAATATTAAAATGTATATTTTAAAATTAAATTGTTAATATTAAATATAACAAAATATCATTCTTTTTCGCATTGAATAAAAATAAGTAAATCATATAAATTGAGACACAAAGACATATAGTATCATTTTATGCAAATAATTACTAATATTATGTTTGTGTTTGCTACAGTTTTGGCAGTGGAAATAAATTATGTATAAGAAGGTTCCAGAACATTGCATGACTTGTTGTAGAGCATCAAAGGGATGCAAACTTTACAGTGAAACAAGCTACGTATGTACTAGCAAATAATTATCTAAAGGAATATTATTACTTTTACTTTAAAAAGTAACTTTGATTAGAATGCGTAAACTAAAGTTTGATCCATTGACATCGATGAATTTTAAAATATCTTTGATATGTACTAATTTGTAGAAGTGTGAACTTTGATCTTATTTAGCTCAGTGAGTAATATCTAGGAAATTACAATTATAATGAGAATGTTATAGTCACACACATGGGATAGGCCTCTCCTCTCGGCTTCCTTAGTGAGAGGATTTGAGTTTGAGTCCTAAATACGAAATTTTTTTAGTTGGGAGTGTTACCTCTCAAATGGGACTTATCAGCAATCAACATAAATCTGAATTAATCGAATTTAATATAAATATTAAATAGTGAATAAGAAAGCATTGAGAAATGACTAAAGCTAGTTAATAATAAGAATAAATTAAGAATTAAATGATAAATTATCTTTTTTATCTTCTAAAATAGATAAGTAAAAATGAATATCTATTTATATGCAAATTTTATAGTGATACAAGTTATGTATGTACTGGAAAATAATGATAAAAAATGATATTATTTCTTTTATTTTAAAAAGTTCGATTTTGGTTATATGATATGTAAACTGAAGTTTAATATTTAAGATATATTTTTTAATCATATTGATATGAAAAAATTGTAATTTATAGCATTTTTCGTATAATTTTTTAATATCAAAAATTTTATTTTAAAATATCGAATTAATCTCATTTAATTTCAGTTTGAAAACTAGTCAAATTGACTCTCAAAATTTTTTATTTTAAAATATCAAATTAATGTAATGTAATTTAAGTTTGAAAACTAGTTAAATTGACTCTAAAAAATTGCAATATGACAACTAAAAGAGAACGGAGGGAATTAATGTACGTAATCTCCTGGATGGTTTGAAAACTAATCAATTTGACTCTCATATTTTTATTCTAAAATATCAAATTGATGTAATCTAATTAAGTTTGAAAACTAGTCAAATTGACTCTCAAAAATTGTAACATACAACTAAAAGGGAATAGACAAAATTGATGTAATCTCCTGAACTGTTTGAAAACTAATCAAATTAA